TTCCCTGTTTTCATCACCAGCGAGAACGGCAGTTTTATTTTTCCAAAAAAGAACATTCTTGTCACAGCAGCCTTCTCACGTAGTTTGTATCCCTTCTCTTGTCAGTTGTGATTCAACAGGGCTGAAGTTCAACCCTGGTGAGATTTTAAAAAAGATCGAAAGGACGAAGGGGGGGAATCTGCTTCGGCCTGCGATTGGCAGAGACTCACCTCCGCAGAAGTGCGTTCCCACGCCTGACTTGTCAATTGCCCCCTTTGTGCATAGGCCTTGCTGATGAAAACTGGCAAAGGCTGCTGTCCTGAAAACTGTGCCACTGGTTGCCATCACAGCAAAGGCAGCAAAAATAATACAGCACTGGACAAAAGTCTCTCCTCCCCACATCAGAACTAGAATGAGATGTCACCCACCGCTCTCCCATAAGCCTCTTGTTCCTCAGCTTCTGTTATCTTTGTGGATTACACATTAACTGAAGTTGTTTGTTTAAAAGAGCTGGATGTTGGGTTTTGTTTATATCCGTGCAGAGATTTCAGCTGAATAACTCATTCTACAGGAAGATAATTGTGTTACACAGAGTGACTCCCGGTTCTAAATTGTTCTATTGACAGCCCTCTCCTCCCCAGTGCCTTGTGGGGGGAAAATCTCTTCCATTTCTGGTGGTCTTTTTAGATGGAGATACAGGAAATTGAATAATAGTGGTAGTGCTTTTTAAGAGTAAGTACTTGATTTTTGCAAGTGCTCAGTGTGCATTACACCAGAGATGGGGAACCCATAGCCTCCAGATATTGCTGAAGTCCATCCTCTGTGCCCTTTATCATCCTGGATGGAACTTCTGGGAATTACAATTCTCAGTACGGGGAGGGCCACTGGCATTACTCTGGCTGGCTGTTCACTTCTGAATTGGGACTCTCTTTTAAAGCTGAAGAACAAATCTTGGGCTAAAGAAGCATCTCTTCTGATCCTAATCTGTCCATGTCTTTGATCTTCACTTGAGGCCCTTCCCCAAATGCTCTCGCTAGGGGAAGAATGCTTTGGACTATCTATGATGGTGCTCCAGGGTGAGGAATGTCAGACACCAGTCTGAGGATAATTTGGGCACCATCTTAAAACGAAACACTTCTGGCCCAGGCCATGGTGTCTATCTTTAGTTTTTATTTTTAAAGGGTCACTGCTGTCTTTTAGATTGTGCAGTTGTCACCAAAATGTTGCTGCTTAATTGCCGTATTATGTTTTGCTAGATTTGAGCCCAGGCTGTATTGTTCTCAGAAATGACAGGATGAAGGGGGATCAGGGAATATGTTAAATCAGAGATGTGTAATCTATTAAGGTCTGAAGATATCTCAAGGATTTCATACTACAAAAATACAAAATACAAAATACTTTAATGACCAAGTATAAAATATATACAAGGAATTTGTC